AAATGTTTTCCTTCCTTTCTTAAAAATAAATTTTATCCACAATTTTTCAATTATCTTAAAAAGTATTTTAATAAAAAAATTAATTTTAATCATATAAATTTTGGTAATAGTCATTTTGAATAATTTTTAATTTGTAATGAATACCAATAGCTCACGATCTAAAATAATTATAAAGATATCATATGTGATCACTATAGATAACCTCTAATCATTACCTACCTGAAAACAACAAGCCAAAGAAATTTGAACCAAGCCTAAATAGTCAAATTTTTTTTTATTATTAATAGTCAAATATTAATTTTTTTAAAATATAAATTAAAATTGACTAAAAAATAAACAATAAAATAAAATAATACTCCCCCCGTTTAAAAATATAAGGCATTTTCAACCGAATCTCACCTCCAATAAAATAGTTACTTACTTTCCAACTAACCCTATATTTTTATATTTATCCCTATTAAACACCTTATAATAAATATAAAGTTATTATCAATAGGAATACTTTTTTTAAAAAAGGCAATGATTACACCTCAAAAGACTAAAAATATCTTATATTTTTTAACATTCAACTCTTCAAAAAATACCTTACATTTTTAAACGAAAGAAGTATTTAATAATTTAGTTATTTGGTTCAACTCAAAAGCACAAGTTATTAGGGTTAAGTTTGGCTATATGACTTTTTTTATAAAGGTAATGAGTACCTATGCATTATTATTTACTTAAGGATATAGAAGTCTTTAGGAAAAAAGTTTCTCAATATTTTTATACTTTATTGTAAAAAAAAATACTTAAATAACTTTCTCACATCTATTATCAACGAGAATTTCTCACACTTAGGAATACAGTGAGAAATTATTCAATAATAATTTCTCATGGGTAAGAATTTGAGAGAGAATTTCTTGGCATATAAATTGTGAGAAAAATTTATATTTACTTTATTTTATTATATCAATTATTAATTGATTTTATTTGTAATAAAAATAAAATATTTATATGCTTTAAAATGTAGATAAAAAGATTTATAGTTTGATTTTGGACAAAATCAATATCATTTGAATAATTTTAATCAATTAGTAACAAAATTCATATAAAATAAAAAAAACAGTTAAATACTTTTTTCATAAAACTAATTTTTTAGTTAATTAATATTATTTAACAAAAATGATTGAAAAAAGAAATATATACTTGAGTAACTTTTTCACAGTGATTATCAATGAAAATTTTTCACCGCTAATAAATTGTGAGAAACATTCAAGATAACAATTTCTCATTGGTAAAAATTTTAAAAAAAATTTCTCATGGATAATGTATCGAAAGAAGTTCTCATCATTACGCTGGCCATGAGAAATGCTTGTTCAAAAGACTTTCTCATGGAAACTATTTGAAGAGAATTTCTCATAGTATACAATCCATGATAAATAATTATGGCATGGATAAAAAGCATAGGAACTCTATCATTTAAAAATGTTTCTCATGAGTACAAATTTTGTGAGAATTTCTTTTACACATATTGTTTAGGAGAAATTGTTTTTATTATATTTTGATAACATTCCTTTTGTTTTCTCATGATTGCCAACCCTGAGAAAGCTGCCTCCAAATTGGCGCCATAATGAGTTATAGTTCTTGCAAATTTTCTCACGCAATTCTGATAGATAATTTTTTTATATCATAGTCATGAGAAAAAAGTATGAAAAATCATACATAAACTGATTTTTTGTGAGAAAATCTACAAAAAATTATCATGTTTTAATGTTCGTGAGAAATTTCTTTGAAAAAAAAGAATATTTTCTTGCAGTGAAAGATGATGACGACTGCTGCAAGGTGGCTGTCAACTAACTAGCTTGTGGGGGTTGGTTATTGTTCAAGCCTGAAATGGGATCAAGTTTGTTTACAAGGGGGGCAACAAAATCTTTGCAACTAGTTATTTTCCCTTGAACAAACAATCTTAAGGTTAAAACGGAGATCATAATCTTCTCTCATTCTTAAATCCAACAATTATTGGAGCTTAATAATGTACTCATCTGGTTTTATTTATAGGATATAAAAAGAAGATTAATTTTGATCATATTTACATGACAATTCATTATTTTATATATTTATCTTTACTTTTTGATCTTTATTAAATGCTATAAAAATTGTTAAAAATAGTTCCTTTTGTTTTAATTAGAGGATAGAGAAAAAAACTTACTAAAATTTAAGATAAAATTAATAATATTTAATCTTTTTCTTAATTTTAATGAAACATACTGAAAGGATAACGATGAGAGAAGAAAGACATCCAGTGGTAGAATTTTCTTCAATACAGCAGATCCTCCGACCCACAGAATTTGATTCAAAACCTGTGTCACTAAACGTCTATATTCTCTCTCTCTCGATAAATATACCAAATTAGAGTAATGTTCTACATTTTGTTCCGTGAAATTCCTTAACCCAAGGTTGAGCGGTTGCTAATTCAACTACTCTTGGTATAAATTAAATTAGAGCAATATTATTCTTAATTTTGTTTTGAATCTCTTTGCCTTTCTCTCCTCTCAAATATAGGTAGACTCACAGTCAAACAATACGCTATAGACTAATTAGGCTGTTTGGAATTTGGATAACACTTTTAGCACAAGTCCCCCAATCTAGCTTCCCCATACGAGAAGGAACCAAATTAAATTAAAGAAACGTACTAGAGAAAAAGTAGTATAATTCTATGAAAATATAATGAATTCCATTGCCAAATCGATACAGGTAATTATCTTGTTGACAGCAAAACACTTGGAAGAAAACCTGACACAGCTTGAGCGGATCAGACTTCAAAGACAGAAAAAGTAAAAAAAAAAAAAGAAACATTCGCAGTAACAATCATTAAAGCAAAGACAAGTCAAGTTAAGCCCCATCATGATGAGCTTAATAATGGAGCTATATATCTAGTTGTTCCTTGAGAGGGCAAACGCAGACATGACTATCAAGCAGTCCAAAATAAGCACAGTAACGAAGGATGAAACCACTGCTCCACTTGTTGCCTGACAGAAATCAGTAAACTGACTGCAGACAGCAAGCCAATTGGTGTCTTGATTTCCATTGTGAGCCAAGTAAACTATCGATGCTGCTGCAGCACCACTTGAAACCGCCAGAGTCAGAAACACCTGCAATTCATAATCATTTAACATGAACTTCATATAATTAAAAGTAGTGAAGTCATACTAAATTAATGGTAATGATTTCATAGAGCTTAATTAATTACTGTGTCCAGGATAATGAGGAGAAGCCTTGCTCCGATTGCTTGAGGTCGTAATATGGTCACGACGGAGAAAGGAAGAGAGAGGACCAGGTATCCACCCACAAAAGCCATTGCGATAACAAAAAACCTGCATTTTCGCAACCAGTTAACATAACGGCCACTGTTTCTTTCTATATCTGGAAACATCTCGAGATGATTGGAGGATATGAATAGGTTAGTGATCACGTACTGGAAAGAGGTGAAATCGTCGTAGCTGGCTTCAAAGCGAAAGAACTGAGTGAAAAAAGGTAGAGTTTGATCACTGGTTCCCATGGAGGCTGCGGCACCGAGAGCAGCTGCGATGGCGCCAAGTCTGAGGATGAAGTCTATTATGGCTATCCCTCTTCTCCATCCTGCCTGCCTCGGTGCTGGAAGAAGAGGTGCTTTTTCTCTGGTGTCAACATTGCTTGTCTCTGGTACATCAATGGTGGTTGACATTTTCGGCTTTGAAGAAAGCGACAATAATCTATTGAGAAGACTGTAAATTAATTAATGGATGTGAGAGCCAAAGCTTGCGATGCAAATGGCTTGATTCATGGTGAAGCTTATATAGGGAAAATGGGTGGATATACTAAATGACAAGTCTATTAGTCAAAGGGCTAAAGAGGAGTTGTTGTACGAAACCAACTCAAACTTTCGTGTGTATGGCAAAGCAAGTAGCAAAAGTGCACTTAATCAACCTTCTTTTCTTGGGTTTCTTTTTCTTTTTTTAGAATTGAAAAGGATATAGTTGCCATGCACGATATTGAGTTTTGGACAGATTGGGTCAAATTTGCATGGATTTAAGCGCTGACTGTGGCTTTTTGTAACGAGCAAGATGAAACACCACACTTTATAGTGGGACTTGAGCTCGAATTCCAACCTGCTGATTTTATCAACAGCTTATTAACTATTAATAATCAGTCAACCAAACCACAAAGCTTCCCTAGTCCAATGGTGAACGAAGCAGAAGACTTTGTCATACAAATCAAGTTTCTAAGGTGAGTCGCATCGTTGATATCATCCACTTGAATTTTATGGAAAAAGTTTGCAACATTTTGTTAACACCATGACGTTAACTCACTGCTACTTTGTTGTTCAAAAGATTAAATTTTTCGTGATGCAACAGAGTCATATAAACAGATAAAATTTGAGACTTAATATTCACTCCTCTTTTTTAAACAAAGCTTCTAGTATTGTACCGCAAAATTGTGTATTAAATTACTAAGAAAAGCACTCTTTTCCTTTTTATGGATGCAAACAAGAAAAGTACACATTTTTCCAGTCGATCCATCGTGTTACTCATTCGATGCGTCATTGTGTGTGTGTGTGTGTGTGTGTGTTCCATCCATCGTGTTACTCATTCGATGCGTCATTTTGTGTGTGTGTGTGTTTGTCAAGGGAAAGAGTTAGAGAGAGAAGACGATGGAAGATGAGCTATTACCTGGTTTGGTGGGATAAAAGCAAAAGGAAGTTACGTTTTCTCCCTCCTTATTTGACGTAAAAAAAAAAAAAAAAGTAACGAGTTATATATAATAGATATTTATAATCCAACAAATATTAACTTTGTACTGTTGATTTAAATTTATTTCTATATAAAAACTATTTTCCAATCGGGAGTTAAAAGAGATAACGTCATAAAATTGGACATGGCCGTTAACGTACTCCAAAACGGAGATATCCAGAATGACACCGCAGCCGCAAGATAATATGATCCAACGACATTTCAGGAGACGACAGACAAACATAAAAACAGTTAAATAAATCAATCATATTAAATAATGAGACATCTCTTGAAGTATTCTTTCTCTGTTTTTTCAATCAATACTACAGTTCCTTAGTTGCAATGGGAAGGGGGAAAAGGGAGGATTTTACTACACATTGTATTATCGTATTATTTGAACAGGTTAGGACAAGTATGAGGTTCCACTGAAAATGTGTCCAGGTGGGGCATATCAAAAGATTTTTTTAAAAAAGAAATCAATGGGGAAAACAAGCGAAAAATTGGTGAGAAGTGAGAACACGCCTTGCCTAGCCCCGCCTTTGGAGACAATCTAGTTGAAACTATTTATAGTGATTTTTCAAGTCAAAGGATTCAGCCATAGCCAGCAAGCGTTCTGTCCCAGAAAACCACCTCCATGCTAGCAAAGGAAAGCAACTGGTTCTGCACAATGTTTCCTCATTTTATCAAACCATTTTCCTCGATCAATTCAAAGAGCACCAATTGGCTTTCAAGGAAACCATCGCGTGCGAATTGTCCATCCTCGCTGAGCAAGTGCCCTTATCACTTGGCTGGCAGCCTCAGCAGTGTCATTGAGCGGGGGATAACTCCAGCTATCAGTCATCTGTAACTTCGAACAACGAATCGTTCTCACTTTGTATACATATAAAGATAATACAAAAAGAAAGGAAAAACATCAACAATTATAGGTTTGGAAGGCACCCTAGTTCTGCCAAACAGATCACAGAAATAATCCTGATAAACCACGTCAAAATTCTTACATTAGCCATTATATTTTGTCAGGGCTCAGGAGTCGGACCTGATGAATCTACATGCTCATCTTTCACGCTTAGGATCACATCTTTGCATTAATATAGTTTCATTAAACAGAAAGCAAAGATAACCCATGAAAACTCCCTCCACCTCTTGACCAGTAATGGAGGAGCTAAACTAATCAACAAAACTCACCTTCTCCATTCCGGTGAAAGGTCGAACAACACCTCGCTCCAGCAAACGCTTTTGAAAGTCAGAAAACTTCCATGTACACAGTTCTGCTCCAATTACATAGACGGGCTTCCTGTAATATAAGATACTGAGTCAAGGAGATCAAAAGGTATGATGAAACTAAAACTTTTACGAGATGGATCCATGATCATATCTGGCACTTACCCAGTACTGCAAGCCTCACTCAACATACTAACTGAATCAGCTGTGATGACAAAAGCATCAGCCCAGGCCAGATGTCCCATATGTGGATTTGGTCCTGGATGAAATACCCACAAAAAAAAAAAAAAACACGTTATTTCCTCTACCAAGACACCAGTTTGAATTTTACTTTCAAGAATATGGTAGCCATGTACCTTCTCCATCCCATATTGTGACCTTCGGATTTGTGCTAAATTCTCTGACTAAACACCTGGAAATCTGCCATAAGAATGAAAAGCTGATGTTGTTGCCCAAACAAAGAAAGTTAGCAAAGGACATCTCAAGTGGGGCTCTGATAGACTCTGTTTTGCTGGAAAAACCTATAAGAGGAGATTCAGAAAAATACAAGAAAAGGGAAAGCATCTTTCTAAGGGGCAGAACGTTGACCTTGCTCTCCTTACTCTTAAGGAGAAAGCTAGTCAAACCTAGTATTGACACATAGTGGTTTTAGGTCTGCTTTAGCAGAACTTGGTGTGGGAGACTGTGCACTTTGCTTTTGGGTTATAGTAGCCGTTAGTTTCATTTGGGGGGGGAGTCATTACTTTTAGGTTTTGTTCAAGGGAGAGACTGGCTCTCAAAAACCAGAGGGCATGCTTAGATAGCATTGCATGTGTTTGGGTTCCATAGTAGTGTTGTGAGTTCCGGCTGTAACTTGGGAATAGGGTTTGTTTGAATCGCTGAAGTGTCTTTTGTAACATTGATTCAGCCTTTTGGGATTATTATTATCAAACCCCAGTATTTCTCCTGATTTGTTGGTCATTAATCTCTATTATCTCTGCATATTTATCTGTTTAGTAGTAGAGTTCCATCATTTGGTATCAGAGCGGGTCGATTTAAGGACCTGTGTGTGGAGAGAAATGGAGGAGAGGGTGCAATACGCTGACCCTGAGTTGCAAGAGTTGAAGGAGACAGTGGGGAGTCTAACTAGAGACGTGACTTCTCTTAGAGACATGATGAAGGATTTAGGCGGAACCTTGGGGCGATTATCAGACAAAAATAGGAAGGGAAGCGAGTCACTCTTACATGGGAGTGGGAAGAGCCACCAAGAAGAATCAGCAGAGACAAGTGCAGGAACGGATAGAGAACCTAGCAAGTATAGAAAGCTGGAGTTACCGGTATTCAATGGAGAAGACCCTTTGGGATGGTTCTTCAGAGTAGAGAGGTATTTCCAGGTTAACTCCATGGAAGAGAAAGAGAAGCTGGAGGCTGCAGTAGTATGCCTTGAAGGTAGAGCCCTGAACTGGTACCAATGGGTTGACACTAGAACACCCTTGCGAAGCTGGTCTGAATTCAAGACCGAGGCCTTGCGCAGATTCCATCCTTCTCAGCTGGGAGATGAGTACGAGATGTTGTTGGCAGCGAAGCAAGAAGGCTCGGTCCTAGAATATGTAGAGGAGTTCGAACGTCTCTCTGCGCCCTTGAAGGATGCACCTGAAGCGTGTTTGGTCGCAGCATTCAGAAGGGGATTAAGAACCGAGATTAGAGCACAGTTGAAACTCACCAATGCTTTCACGTTACGCGAGGTGATGGAAATGGCCATTCGGGTTGAAGAGAGGAACCTGGAAGTCGAACGGGCCAGAGAAATTCGGGTACCCAGAATCCAGAGAAATTTTTAGGTGGGCCAAAAAACCGACTCAACCCAGACTTATTATACACGAGCTACTCACGTGGCGGATCCCTGGAAAAAACACGATGGTCCCTTCTACAGCAACAGACGCGACGCGGAAGACTGAAACGAAGAGTTACGAGTCAAAAAACAGCAAGCTCTTCGACTGGGCATGCTTCGGCCAGAGGAGGAAACACTGTGCGAAGACTGTCAGAGGCCGAAATCACACGACGGAGGGAACTCGGACTCTGCTTTAAGTGTGGAGATAAGTTCGGACCAGGACACACATGCAGAAACAAACAGCTACATGTGTTGATCATGGAAATCGAACCACCAAAACAGCCAGAAGATGACGAGCAGGGGGACGAACTTACAGGAATTAATGAAGAGGAGGATATGACAGCAACAAAAATGGAGCTGTCAATGAACTCCATTGCTGGTTTGGGGGGAAATCACACGATGAAGGTGAAAGGAGTGATGGAGAGTGAAGAAATTATAGTGTTGATTGACAGTGGAGCAACCCATAACTTCATATCAGAAGGTTTCATGACCAAGAAGCAGATGCCTTATGAAGAAATTCCTACGTATACGATCACAGTCGGGGATGGCTACAATCTTAAGAGGAACCAACGATGTAGGGACCTTAGTCTGAAGGTACAGGGGCTCAATATTATTCAAACATTCTACCCTTTTCCTCTAAGTGGAGTAGATGCTGTGCTAGGGGTTGAATGGCTCAAGTCCTTAGGAGATGTGAAGATGAATTGGGGACAGTTAACAATGGAAATAGGAAAAAGGGGTAACCGAGTATGCTTAAAAGGTGATCCTACCTTGGCTAAGACTCAAGTCTCCCTCAAATCATTAATTCGATCAGTGCAGAAAAGAAAGAGAGGAGGTTTCATGATTGAATATAATGGTCTATCACAAGGGGGAGACATGCATGATGCCCAGTCGGTGCTTCCAGAAATTCGATCACTACTCCATAAGTTTATTGCGGTCTGCCAACCAGTTGAGGGATTACCACCACCCCGTCCCCATGATCATGCGATTGTCATCAAGCCGGGGAACAACCCCCAAATATACGGCCCTACAGGTATCCACATGCCCAAAAAAATGAGATTGAAAACATGGTCAAGGATATGCTTAAGGCTGGAATTATACAGCCAAGTCACAGCCCTTACTCAAGCCCGGTGCTTGGTTAAAAAGAAGGATGGGAGTTGGAGATTTTGCGTGGATTACAGGGCTTTAAACAAGATCACAGTCCCGGATAAGTTTCCCATTCCAGCCATTGATGAGTTGCTTGATGAGCTTAAGGAGCAACTGTTTTTACAAAGCTGGATCTCAAATCAGGATATCATCAAATTAGGATACAAACTGGAGATGAACCAAAGACAGCTTTTAGAACACATGAGGGGCACTATGATCAATTCAAGGTAATGCCTTTTGGACTTACCAATGCTCCCTTAACTTTTCAATCACTAATGAATGAGGTATTTCATGAATACTTACGCAAATTTGTGCTTGTGTATTTTTGATGATATACTTGTTTATAGTAGTGATTTAACTACTCACCTCAAGCACTTGGATGTCTTTT